CTCGAAGATTTTGTGATCGCCAGCTCGCTCTGGCTAGCCCGCTCGCGCGGCTTGACAACCAGCTCCACGTAGCGCTCGCGGACCTGAGCGCCCCGACCGCGGGCAGACCAGACACGACACGATGGGCCCGATTGGCACAACAACTTGTTTTTTCTATGTTTCGCGATAGCGCCTGTGGCCGGCCCCGCCCCACCGACAGCGCAATTGCAGGGTTCGCAGGGCGTTCCCGCCCTATTTTGGCATACCCCTCACGTGTTCTCACCGAAGGCGCACTGGCAGGGTTTCGCAAGGCGTTCCCGCCCCATTTGGGCATACCTTCAAACGTTTCGTGACCCCGCCCCCCGTGGTCACGTCACGATTCGCGCCGGCGCCACTGGAACTGAACCATTCGTAAACTGTCCCAAACGTCGTCGGCGCGAATCGTGACCAGACAAGGCACCTCCCTCCTGGGCCACGCCCGTCATCTCCAGGGGCTCAAAGAACGCTATTCGAAACATTGCGTCTTGCTAGCAAGGCAAACGACGCCGTGCGCGTCCTGACCAGCCCCCCATCAGAGTCGAGATTTGTTTTGTGGCGGCCCCTTCATCTTCGAATTACATGCAACGATGGGGGAGACCAGCCCAAAGAGGTAAACATCGACCTGGGATCGGCGATACCTCGCCGCTAAATCGGCGGTGGCACTTTGATAGCGAGACCCCACGTTCCTGGGCGGGGTGGGCCATCGACTTTTACTCGGCGATTAATTGAATATTGGGAATTGATGATTCCCCCCGCCTTGAAATTACGCCCAAACAAAAAATACTCCGACGGGATATGTCTACCTCGGGCTTCGCCCATTCCTCCTCGCCTTTTGCGGACACCCTCTTCTCGCCCTCAGCTCTGCCCTTCCATCCTCTGTTTTTTTTATGTTTCTTCTCCTCCTCGTCGTCCTTCTTACCCCCTCCTCGTCATCGCCCCCCACGCCCCTTCCCCCGTCCTCATCCTCCTGCTTTTTCTCCATGTGCACCTCCCCCCACCCATGGTCGGGGCAAGCAAGTCGATGTTCCTCTGAACCGTCGCCGCGTCGGCCAGCACGCGCGCGTTCGCCGGCGGCCAAGTCGCGAAGCCCTTGGGGCAATCCCGCGGGCCTTGCGTTTGGGGCAAACCTGTGGGCCGCTTGGGCGCGGGGGCGAACCGCCGGGACGAAACCCCGCGGGCACCGAGGTGGGCTCGGCCGCGCTCGGCCGGGTGGCAGCGCGAAGCCCAACTCCGCATCGGTTCCGGAATTCCCCGTTATCTAGTCGAACTTCCGGAACACCTTCCGCAAAGACGCTGGCGGCCCTCGTTCTGGGAACTCTCGCGTGGGCGGCCGCAAAACCAGCGCGTTCCACATGCGCGTGGCGCGGGAGAAGATGACGTAGAGATGCAGCCACAATTTTTCATCCGACGTGCCCATGCGACCAGCGTTCGGTCGGGCGCGCCCCCCCCTGCAGGCGGATTCTGGAAGGCAGAATTTACAAACCTGTCGAAACATAATCAAAAAATAATAGATGTTTGAATATTCATCCACTCACAGACGAAGCTCCCGCCTGAGACTTCCCCAAGATGCAAGCCAGGCTGGGGGGCCCAAAAATTGGCGACAGGCGTGGGTTCCGCATGACCCGCTCTGATTACCAATCTGCAGCGCGATCCCTATATGGAGGGGCCCCCGCCGGAGACTTCCTTGCAATTCACCCACGCATGAAATTCCCGCCGGAGGCTTCTTCAACTGTCAACTGTGAGGGGCCAAACCGCGAAGACAATTACAAGATTGGAATGACCAGCTTCGAGTGTAAACATAAAGTGCGTGCTCCATGGGGAAGAGGTTCCCTCATGGGACTTCCTCGCAATTCAATCACAGCCGAGGCCCCCGCCTGTGTCATATTCAAGATTCAGACGCGGGGGGCCGAAAAGTGACAACAATGACTCGATTTCACGGACCCGCTCCGATTGCCAGCGCGAAGTGCGCCTCTTGAAGTTTCACTCAGGCAGAAAAGGGCCTAAAAATGACCACACTTAAAAGGTTTGGATGACCCGCCCCGGTTGCCAACATAAATTGCGGGCTCCATGGGGAAAGGATTCCCGCCTGAGACTTTTTCACAATTCACTCACAAACGAGGCCCCCGCCTGAGGCTTCTTCAAAATTCAGGCGCGACGGGCCCGAAGACGACAGCAGATACTGGATTTGGACGACCCGCTCCGATTACCATCGCGAAGGGCGGGCCCCATGGGGTGGGGGTCCCCGCCGGAGACTTCCGAACACTTCACTTACAGACGAGGCTCCCGCCTAAAACTTCTTCACGATGAATGCATGAGTGCGTAACTGTATGAGTGTGTGTGAGTTTGCGTGTGAATGTGAATGAGCGCGGGAGCGATGAGGATGATGATCACGATGATGATGAGTGGGTGAGAGACTGAGGGGCAGAGTGGTGATGTAGATGCTGATGGTGATGATGATGATGAGTGAGTGTGTGATGATGACGATGATGATGTTGATTACGATGATGATGATGATGCTGATGCTGGTGCTGATGATCATCCTGATGCTGATGATGCGCTTTGCACTTTGCACCGTGCCCTCAAGGTCTCCCTTGCGCCTCAAGCGGCACGTCGAGCCGCTGAAGGAAACGCCATGCAAAAGCGCCTCGCGTAAGGGGCGAGAAGATTGGGGCCAGTGCAGCTGGCGCGCGATCGGGAGAGAGCGAGCGAGCCATTCTACCTTGCTCCACTGGCCAGCATCCGCGAGCCAATCAGAACCGAGCAGTCGGGCGAGGTCCCTCTCCCATCGCCAGGCCTTGAATATGCGGCCATGCGTCTGGGATCCGTGCTCGCGTTTCACTCTCTGGAGGCGGGCCATGCTGCGCCGCTGTAGCAGATGGACGGGCACAGGCTGGGTAGCTGTGGCGCCTGGCAGGGCAGCCTGGCGGGCTCGGCGCCCAGCCCGGGCAAGCCTGCGAATATCCACGTCTTTGTCCCATGTCGCGTGGGCCCGGAGAGCGGCAGAGACGCGGCGCCATCGGCGGCGACAGAAATCCTCCGGCGTCTCCTCCTCCCATCTCTGCGCACAAATTAGCCGAGAGAGCATTTTCGGCGCGCGACTCGACTCGCGGGGCACCGCGATCCCGACCCATAGAGCAAGACAGTTTGATGGCTCGCTCGAGCAGCTTCGCGTCCTGCTGCCAGCGGCAGGCGCGTCCAGGTAGAGACGTCCTGAGAGCGCAAAAGGCAATCCAGGCGCGGGCTGCCCGGTGCTGCGCGCCCTTCCAAGACCTTCCATCGACGGTGAAAACAGAGCCGAGGTAAGGGCAACCCTCGGCGTGAGGCGTGCGCGTCAGGGCGCCGCCCTCGACCCTCATCTGGCAGTCGCCGAACTCGTGGTCCAGCGCCGTCGCGCCCCAGGTCAGACCCGAGGGATGCACGTGCCATCCGCGCGCTCGCAAGACGCGCCGCCGGGCCATCGTCATCTGGCGCAGCGACTCGGCCGTGCCCGCAAACAGCCAGAAGTTGTCGGCGTAGAGAAGTCCCGCCTCGTGCAGCGCGGCCTCGCCCGGGAACTCGCTGCCCCGGCCGCGTGTCTAGCATTCGCCCAGGAACTCCTCCCAGGCATCCTCCAGCACTAGATTGAAGAGTGTCGTGCTGGCTGGGTCCCCCTGTCGAATGCCGCGAGTCCGAGGTGCTGGTGGCGTCTGGATGGAGCCCATATTGATCACAACCGAGGCCTTCTACTCCCTCGCGATGGCTAGGATCGCGGGCCTTGGCGCAGCCCTTCTTCTCAGTGTCTCCTCGACCGAGCGGTGCGAGACGCGGTCGAACGCGGCCTCTATATCGCCGCCCACGATTGAGATAAGACGGTTCCACCCGCAGGCCTTCTCAGTCAGCGTGCGCATGCTGAAGATCACGCCCATCGCTTGGTGGTGCTTGCGATTGGCGTACTGCGGGCTCCGCAAGGTCAGCTTGTTGGCGCATTTCTTGATCAGGCCAACCGAGTATAGCTTCTCGAAAGAGCCAGTCGCGCGATCGGTCTGCGCCCCTTGAGCGCGTGCTTGTCTCCCTTCTTCTTCATGGGCTGGACGAGGTGCCCCGACCGGGCTTGGCCCCCGGCATACTCGGGCACCCCGCGGAAGCGGTTCTCAGAGTCGGCCGCGAGCGAGGCGAGAAAGCCTGAGTCGAGGGCCTGCAGGGGCTCGGCGGCCACCCTGCCCACGCCAGGAGCCTTCGCGGCCATCATGTCGCACGGAGCCTCGCGGAGCATCTCGGGCGAGAAGGACGGGATATGGAGGTCATCCTCCGTCGCGAAGTGGGCGAGGTAGGCAGAGGCCTCGACAAGCTCCTCCCCGTCGCTGGCCCTGAAGGCGCTGCCGCACTCGCGCGCCAGAAGCTCCTTGATCCTCAGCGGGTCGCCCTCGATCTCCCCCTCCGCGCTCATCAGCTGGTCGTGGATCGGGCCAGGCTGACCTCGGCGAGGCGCTCGTGCTCGGGGATTGCCCGCCTCGTGTAAGCAATGCTGCAGGGCCCTGTTCGCAGTCCAGATCTTCCTGCGAAGCCTGATGATATCCTTTCTGTAGACCGCGCGCTGCTCGCCTTTGCGGGCGACCCGCCGGCGTGCCCCTAACGCCCGCAGCGCCTGCATGAGCTCGTGGCCCTCGGGGAGCTTGGGGGCCGCCCTCGCAGGCGGGCCCCTGCCGCAAGCAGCGGCAGCCAGGTACACCGCGTCCGTCGTGGAAGTGATCGGCGCTGGGTTGCGGTCGGCGCGGCAGGCGATGCGGCTCCAGCGCTGAATGCGGTTGTCGAGGTAGGTCCAGCCCTTCATGGGCGCACGACCTCCATGCCAGATGTAGCGCCTCCTGGTGCCGAAGGTGAACTCCAGCTTGATGGCCGAGTGGTCGGATTGCGCACTGTCGGCGATATCCTCAAGCGCGGTGCTGACCTTCCAGATGTCGCGAGCGGGAATCAGGGCATGGTCGATCTGGGCCGGCGGGTGCTGGAAATCGCAGTGGCAGGAGGGTCCGCTGGCCGCCGCGGTGAACGTGTTCGTCGCCGCCAGGTCGTGCTGCATGAGAAGTCTCGTCAGAATCTCGGCGCGACGTGTGCGCTGGCCGACTGGGAAGCCCCCAATACAGCGCCCCTCGCCCGCCTGCGGCGGGGGCGAGGCCGTCTGCGCGTCCGCGCCCGCGATCGGGCACGCCCCAGGCGGTGCCATCACGATCAGGTCGGAGAGCTCCTCCATAGAGTTCTCGCACTGAGTGAAGGAGCGCCCTGGGAAAAATTGGCTGCAGACAATGCAATAATCCTTCTCACGGATGCGAAATAGGGGCGCCGCCGACCGCCCCCGCGGCAGCAAATCTCCCCGTGGAAAAGATCGAGCAGCGCGCCAGCAGCCCCATCTGCTTTTGCCCCTCGACCCGCGGTGTGTCCAGCCAGATGCCGCCCTCGCCGACCTCCAGCCTCGTGGTCTTGCCCCAGTAGCCGACCCCCTGGAGGATGAGCACGTTGCAATCGTGCTGCTCGCGCGGCGTCGCTGCAAAGCACTCCGCGCTGTGCTTCGCATTGCCTGAGCGTTCCAGCTGATGATATTGAAGCACATCTGCTTCTCGGAGTGCTCCAGAGTCCGCTCCTTGTCAAATCATCGGCCCGCGTTGGCCTTGGCCTGGTATTCGACCAGGCTGAGGTGCGCGCCCGTGTGGGCGCTGGCGTCGGCCGCGGCGTGCCCATTGCAGCTCATGGGGCCCGTGGTCCTCACCGCCTCGCCGAACACGCGCTGCTTCCACCAGATGATGCCTCGAATGTAGTCTAGCTCGAGGGCCGCCGCCTGCGCGCATGGGTTGTCGGTCAGCTCTTTCTGCGCGCGTGAAATCATCATTGACAAACGAATTTCCTCCGAGGATTTCTCCACAGGGAACCAGAAGCGTCGACCCAGGTGATGTGATTGCGGCATAGTTATGCGCTTCCCTTTCAGCGAACGTACCCAGGCCCACATCCGCCCCGAACTCGCGAAGCGGACCTTCAGGAAACTGGCCCGCTTGAGCGGGGCGAACACTCCATCCTCTGTTTCGTCGGGACTGGCGTCGGTGAGCGCGCGAATTTCGTTCAGGATGGTGACGGGGGGGCGCGCCCCGATCCAAGCCGCCGATCGTCGCGCAGATATTGTCGCGCGCCCTCATTGGCCCCGACACGGACGGCTGCGCCGCCATGCTCTCGACCCCCGAGAAGCGCAATGGATGCCCGACCGAAGAAGCCGCCGTGGATGAGGGAGCTGCCGAACGCCCCTCTCGCAAGTCCTCGATGTCCTGCTCAATTTTGTCGAGCCGCCCCTCGCGCCCCTCGACGTCCCGGCGCACATTGTCGATGGACGTTTACGTCCGCGAAATGTTTCGCCATCGGCTCCTTGATCTCGGAGCGCAGCATCTCTCTGAAGTGCATCGTCGCGGGTCCGTCCATGGCTGCTGGCACTGGCACTGGCTCGCGCGAACGGCTGCGCGAGCCCATCGACTGTTAGCGCGAGGAAGCTGCGAGCCACAGCCCAGCTGGCAGCTGCGAGCCACAGCCCATACTGCCGCTTGAGCCAACATGGGTGCTGATGCTGATGATGCTGATGATGGCGATGCTGCCGATGATGATGTTGCTGATGGTGACGATGCCGATGACAATGATGAGGAGGAATGTACAGATGTGGGTGGGTCCCTGTTCCCGTTCCGGCGCAGGGTTTCCAGAGAAACGAGAACTCCACTTAGGATGTGGAGAAACGACAAGTATTACTCTTTCCTTCCCTCCCCGCAACGTCCGTTACGCGGGGGCGCCCCGCGCCCAGGGGGGATCGCGGCAACGTGGTCGGGCCCGACGGGGGGAGGGCCCGAACGACGACGACGACGACGAGACCGACGACGATGACGTCGGCGTCGACGACGAAGGCCACGACGACGACAACGACATGGACGAAAACGAGGGGCACGAGCACGACAACGACGACGGCCGCTTCTGATGGCCCTCAGAGGTCTCCGTAGGCCTCAGGACGTCTCCAGAGGCCACTGGAGGTATCTAGAGGCCCTCCGGGTCCCTCAGAGACGGCGACGACGACGACGACAGCGACGACGACGGCAGAGGCGGCGGCGGCGGCGGCGATGACGATGACGACGACGGCCGTTTCTGAAGATCTCCAGAGGCGACGACAGCGACGACGGCGACGGCGGCGACGACATCGACGACTACAAGGCGGACGAGGACGAAGACGAAGACGAGGAGACCAGGACGATGGCGACGACAACGACGAGGACGACGCCGACGACGGCCGACTTTGAGGTACTCCGATCTTTTAAGCACCACACCGTGCCTGTGAGCATCGCGCCATACCTGTGAGGAGGAGCGCCCCCCCCCGCTCGTGCGTCGGAGGTCCTCCGATGCCTGTCAGCACCGCGCCATGCTTGTGAGCACGGCGCCGCAGCGGTTGGGGGGGGCGCCACCCCCTCTGGCACGTTGCCCTCTCCCCCCGAACGTTTGTTACCCTTGCGGGTCTGGTGGGGCGGCGACCCACCCGCGACGGGCGCCGCGCAGCCCCGCGGCAATGCAAGCCCCGCAACGAACGAAAACCGCCCCACAACGAATGACACCTCCGATTTTTATTCGTTGCGGCGACCCCCCCGCATCGCATAAAAAAACAATATCCCCCTGACCGAGGCCCCCCCCAAGACGCCTGCGCACGCGTTTTTGAGCGAAGCGAGGGGTCATCAGCGACGGGGCTGATCTGCCGAGGCTCGGCCATGCCGCCGCCCCCGACTACGGGAAGTGGCCGGCCTAAGACTACGGGGCTGGGGGGGCAAGGCTTCTGGCCCTTCGGTCTTCGGAGCACGCCGCGGGCGACGCGCGCGGCGCACCTCTCGCGCGCGGCGCCGGCCACGGAGAAGCCCCCCACGATGCCCGGGCCCGGGTGGCTCCAGCGCGGGGGGATGCCGAGGCGGCGGCGAGGGGGATTACCCAGACCCCCGACGTCGCGATCCTTTCACAGCGTCGACCCCCCGAGGTCTGGACCCCTTCCCTGGGGCCGTTCTCTCGCCCCGAGTCGTTGTTTGACGCTCCCAGGGCCCGATTGTCTCAAATAGTCCCGATCAGTCATTGATCATTGATGTCATGGCTGCTGAGTGGTGGAAATTCCGAGGCATCGATCCAATGTGCAGGACATCTCGGCCTCCGCGCGGAAGTGCTGACATTCGTGCTGCAGGAGGTGAAGCTTCAGTCCTCGCGCCTCGATTATGACACCCATGTGGACGTTTGGTTCTGTGGCAGATGATTGGGCCGTTGCCGAAAAATCCGCCGACCCCTCGGGCTGTCTGGGTGCGCGAGAATCGCCCCCGCCCATAACGCCCCCCCTGGCTGGGAATTAAACTCCCCCTCCCGGCCGAGGACGACCCCAAAGTAGTAGGGGCACTTACGATTCGTGACTAGGGTCCGAACGGCCGACTCCGTCGAGAGAAAGCGGAGGAGGTACGAGTGGAACGCACGTTCACGCCAGTGCACATCGTCGCGCCCCCTTCGGAGCCAAGGCGATCAGCCGCGGAGCGCTCCTATTTAGACACTCCGCCACCCTGTCCGACGAAGGGGGGCCAGGCCCTGAGAACACAGGCAGCCCAACGCAACAAAACCAGAGGAAGGCGGGCCGCGCGCAAGCGCAGGAGCGACCGAAACGAAACACAAGCGAAGCAACATCTAAGGCCAGGGGCGAACGCCGGAGCGGAGGGAGGGGGGGGGGGGCGAGGAGGAGGAGGGGCAAGAGAAAACGGTATGGAAGACGACGCGAATTAAAGCAGCAGCAGCAGAGACCCCGAAACGAACGCACCATGGGAGGATGAACGGCAGGAACGCTCTACGAGGCGCCCGAAAAAATCCAAGAGAGCTAGGAATTAACGGATGGTGGCTGCAAGACGCTCAAGATGGTCTCCTATCGGCTTCGCAACACCGCCCCAAGAGACCAACATCATGGGCCCCCCATTGGCCCCCGAAGGCTGTTTGACTTCTTGGCCTCTTCGGCGCGCCCGCGCTCCAAGGAAAACCGAAAAACAAAAAAACGCCCAAGATTGCCTCGGGGCGGCCCCGAAACTGCCCCCAGATGACCGACGAGGACCCCAAGACGGCCCCACGAGGCGCCCGCGAAACTCCCAAGGACGGCTCCACAAGAGGTCCCGGGCGGGGGCCGCGAACCGAAAATTTAAGTTTCCCGCCTCGAGGGGGCCCCGGGAAACCCAGCGAACGCCCCGAGAGGTTTCCCCCCGGCCGCGGCGGGCATTCTTCGAATCCTTCGCCTTCCCCTCGCAATCCTCTTCCCTCCACATTATTTTGCCCTCGGCCTTCGATCGCCCAGCATTTGTTCATTGCCCGTTCCTGTTAAAGGGTGCGACCGCCAATCCGAATAATAATGGCGATGGTGACGGCGACGACGGACGACGATGAAAACGATGGCGATGCTGATGCCATCATTATCATTCCCCTCGCGCTTAACTCTCCTCGCCCTCGTCCATCCTGTCGCGATATGCCGCCCTGGTCTCCCCTACGCGGACCCCGGCACTTGCGCGCGCGCTGTCTGCGCGCATAGGGGGACGGCCGAAGGGCCGTTCCTATGCGGGGTCCGCAGGTAGAGGCGAGGAGTAGGATTTCTTGTCCATGGCACTGCGCACGGAGCAGTGCACCGTTAGGGCATAGCCACCACCCGAGCCGATGCAGCTGCGGCAAGGGAGAACAGACTAGGGAAGTGGGCGGACTTCGCGCGCACCCCCCGCCCCGAAACCTGCCAGCTCCCGATGGCCTCGGGCCCGCAGGGGGCGACGGCAGGAGTCGGGAACAGAGGTGCGAGGTCCACTCGCCACCCCGTTCTATCCACCGCCCCTCCAAACGAGGGCGCATTGGCTACGAAAGGTGAGAGAGAGAGAGAGAGAGAGAGAGAGAGAGAGAGAGAGAGAGAAAAAAAAAAGAGAGAGAGAGAGAGAGAGAGAGAGAGAGAGAGAGAGAGAGAGAGAGAGAGAAAGAGAGAGAGAGAGAGAGAGAGAAACAAGAGAAAACAAATAAATACATAAAGAAATAGAGAGAGAGAGAGAGAGAACAAAAAAAAAGAGAGAGAGAGAGAGAGAGAGAGAGAGAGAGAGAGAGAGAGAGACAGAGAGAGAGAGAGAAAGGGCGAGTGAGACAGAGAGGGAGAGAGAAAGCGAGAGAAAATAGGGAAAGAGAGAGAGAGAGAGAGAGAGAGAGAGAGAGAGAGAGAGAGAGAGAGAGAG